TGGCAATCATATTCATCCCTTGAAAAGTACAAGTTTCTGGAAGGATTAATTTGTGTTCGTGTCACGACATGCATCGATACTCCTATATGTTGTTGGCCAATGCCCCTTCAGACTGAACCGATAAATTTCGTTATTATTATATAGATGCAGAACTACTGTTGTCCAACCACGAAACAAGTAACAATCTGACCTCAAGCTATACAGTTTACAGTTTTTTGGGTGAATGAATGCTCTTATACGTGCAGGAACGGGCAGCTTCTCAAATAACCTAAACAATGTAAACCTGATGACAAATTCTGCCTACCTTCAGATTGTTGTCTATTTTCTGTTCGATGGGAGTGGCCATTGTTGTAGCACCACTGATATGCATCACGTTCACTCACTATTAAACACAAGCATTTCCATCTCGACTGGTCAAAAAATGCACTTGCATTTCTATCCCGTGCGTACACTAACTTATCACCATTTGCTAGCAGTGCAATGCTAACATGCGCACAAAATCATGTTCTACAGCTTCTTTAGCTTACTATCGATTTTAGTTCCCGTGTCTAACGAGAGATGGAAGGATGGGTCACGTTCGTATGGCCGATCGATTAGCATGAACATCAAGAGATCAAACAGAAACGCGCGAACTGGTTTGGATGTTACTAATTAGCCTCATACTGAGCTTCCTTAAAATAAAATAAAATAAAACTGTGAAATTAGTAATTTCTTGTATCATGCATTTTACTTAGTGCTTGATTAAATTTATTAATGTTAGGCACATCCTGAAACTTGACAAACCAAAATTTCTTTCAACCGGACACCTTTAATACACAAGTTTCGAGCGCCACCGCCACACCATCATCAGTGCCAGACTGTAGCACATACTTCCTTTCTTGTCATTCGTTACTTAAGCGATAGATGGTAGCGCAGAACACTTCCTTGGCTACGGTCGATATTGAAACAGATGAGCGGACTGTGGCTCAATAGTAAAAGGGACCAAGTTCAAACATTGTACAATAATTTTAATTACAGTAATGTGTAGTAATACTTCTGTTTACTCATAAGCGTAACAAAGCAAGTTAATGCAGCACTTTCAAACTGAGTAAAATCTTGAAAAAAATTAAATAATGACGTCTATATTTAAAGAACTGGATTTAATTCTAAAGCTCATTTTCTTGACACAAGATATCATGGACGTAAACCACTTCAGTCTTGAGTCACCCATGCAATTCAAAGTCGTATAAAAGGGCTTTTCCTCGGAAAATTATTATTTTGATTGTTTTCACGTGTAATCTTGTTCCTGTCTCTGAAGTGGTTTTAAGTTGTCTGGAAAACTTCGCAAGCCATACATTTCAAATATCATTCTACTTGATTTAATCACTTTAATAATATTTTATAAGTAATACATACGAAGCTCAGCATTCCACAGTTTTCTCCAACGTGCTATTGCTTTCTCCCTCTTTAAGTACAAACATTCTTCTCAGGACTTTGTTCTCAAACACTATAAATGTTCATTCTTCGCCTCGTCAACTTTAACACAGACACAAAATGATAGTTAAAGTTACCAACATTTCTCTAAGACTGTGTTTTAACTTTGCATTTGAAGGCAGAAGACGGGATACGAAAATTAATGGCAGTTATTCCCCGAATTTAATCTGCTCATAATTTCTCAGGTCTCCGTAAATGTTCGGCTACGTAAAAAAGAATGGCGTACATTAACCAGTAGGCCTAGCCTGCACAAAAATCCCTCGTTAACCGCTGATGCTACTTTCTTAACAAATAATTTTGTTGACAAAACAGCGGTTAACAAGACAAAGTCCTCGTGAGAAATTGGGAACTAATGAAACAGTGGCCACTGTTAACAAAAAAAATTAAACAATAAATTGCATGTTCCTCAACTAAGCTTCTATATGAGAAAAATATTACTTGACATCAAAGAACACGCTTTCAAGTCGTCACTACCTGACAGTACCTTCCGCTTTGAGCAAAGGTTCAGGTTAATGAACAACGTTAAATTATGAAAGAACTAGGTACGGCGTATATTACAGACAAAAATTTTAAGGGATACGTGGAAATAGTAAGAGAAATTAACACTTTGAAGTCGAAGCTCATGCAAACAGTTTTAAACATTCAGTTGCTACAACAAAGAAAATACAGCTCGTCTTACTTTACAAAGATCAATTTGTTAACGTTGATCAATAAAATAATCGCTGTTTGTTGAATCATACGCAACTCTTTAATAAAATCTGAGGGTAGAATGTAAATTTATTTATTTTAAAGTAAGTAGTAGACCCTAACATAGTTGTCACTACATTTAAAGGTTTGAACCTGGTATTGTAAGAGCGTCACCTAAACTACTGATGACTGATTTTATTTTTAATAAAATTCCATGAAGTTTACAAAATTGTCGTCATTTGTAAGCTCGCAGCCGAATACTGTGTCAAATTCAGACGAACTGAAGTGCACGCAAGTGATTACAATTTTGTGAAAATTGCTATTATGAAATCGTTTTGCCCAACGAGGACCGCCACTAAAAGGCCCTTGGGTGGGGGAAGGGGGAGGATGTGGTTGAAGCGCGGCGTGGGAAAGGATCTGCGGGCAGCTCACACGCGACGGAAGCAGCACATGGGACTCTAGTTCCTCGGAGGAAGTAGCGTGGGCATACTGCTCTTCCTCCGTGAAGCCACTGCTAAACCGTGCCAGCTATGTCAATGTAGAGTAGACTCTTAATCATAAGTTGCAGTGAAATTATCTGAAAACATAAGAAATCTTAGTTTGGAATTTCCATTTCTGTATGCCAGTGCTGAAATAATCAACTGTGTACAGCAGAGACCTCCTTCGGAACGTAGTGTAACTCTGAAATATAAAAGGAATTCCCCGGCTTTCATGGAACCCACAAGTTTATTTTGGTGCTAAACACTGCCTGCCATTACTCCCCACTCTAAGCCAGATGAGCCTAATCCACTCCCAAATTCTATTTCCATACAATCCATTTAAATCTTATTATTCTTCTACTTACACCCAGGTCTTCCGAGTTACCTATTTCTTTCAGGATTTCCAACCAACATTTTTCTAGTTTCTCATTCCCTTGCGTGCTACATGGACCAACTATATAATCATCCTTGATTTGATTACCCTAATATTAACGGCGAAGAGTTGCCAATTGCAAGCTACTGCCTTAAAAGAGTCCTCGACTTTAACTTATCCATACCCAACACTTTATAATCATCCTGACAATACTACCGGCTTAAAAGTGGACTTATCGCCCTGATTATGGAAACTGTAAGCAAGTCTGAAATGTCGGCCAACATCCCAGAAAACAGTCTTCTTCGTATTCGTCAACGTGCGAAACTGAAATGACACCGTGTCTCCTTTATTTGATAAAATTCTTGCACGGTATTTAACTGTGTCCTTACAGTCAACTGCACTTCCCTTGAGCTAGAGCACCACTCCACAATCTTCGAGACTCTGACTGTGCGGCGTGTGTCGGAACTGCTGCTGCCCCACCCAGTCGGCAGATGCACCAATCGGCAGTAGTTCACGTCGTTATAGCCCCGCCCCAAGCTCCATTCTCCAGTCAACACAGTTTCTCTACTAGACGTCGGAAGGCATCATTTTTCGGCATTTTCATTACTGGGTTCCTTAGTCCCCAGACAGGACCCGGCAGATTTCTGTGTTCCTTACCACGTATGGATGGTTCGCACTTCCCCTTCGTAATCCGAAGATTCCATTCCGACTTTGAGCAAGGATTGTCGTGTTTTTTCTCACTCCTTCCGGGCAAATCCAGGGACAGTTGGTCTCCATCATCAGGACGATAAGTCTACAGTCTATAGAATAGCCTACAAACTAAAAAGTTCAAAGAATTCAAGCTTAGAGGCTGCAAAAGTTTGTACACTAAACAGATTGCATGTAACTGAGAGCCGGTCTCCAGACCGATATTTGAGCCCGGAACCTCCAGAGTACGAAGCAGGTGTCTAATAACTCAGCTGAGACGATCGATGACGATGGTATTGGTACCACATCGACCTAATAAAATGATTAATTAGTCTGAACACAAGTTACAGTTAAAGACACGAAAGGGCTGGACTAACCCGAGATCGAATCTTAGCAAGGACAGGGAGTGTCCTTTCACCAGAACGTCCGGACCGGCTCTGGGACCCACTGAGTCCCTATCCAGTGGGTACAGCGTTCTTTTCTTCCGGGAGATGAAACGACTGGAGTACGAAGCTCATCACTTCTACCAATTGCAGAAGTTACGAATGAGTGAAGCTGTAACTCCACGCCACCCTTACACCTTCATGACTTACGGCTTAGGCACAGGGACCACTTTAACTTTTCAGTCTTATGTCAGTGCTTAGATTCCTGTTTGACTATTTAACGACACTAAATTGTGTACTGATTCATTTGCCACCGTATCCAGACCGGCTCTGGATTCGACACAGCCTGCTATCAATCAGGGACTCTATTCCCCGAGTGTAAATTGGCCCGAACGTGAAACTGACAGCTCATCTACATCTCGTGGTGATGTACGGAATGTGAGCACAAAACCACTCCCCGTACGGATGGAAAAGCACAGGGACTATTTTTCCTTTGCATGATGATACAAATAATCTTATCATCGTTTTAACAAGCGACTAATCTGCAAGTGAAAGATGATTTTCAATTTTCGACAAGTATTTTTATTTGCATGATATTTGCTAGCTCCATTTATTATGCAAATGCTACGTCTCCACATTTGTGACGTGGCCAGGTTATCATTATTTCGTAACAATACGTTGACTGCTGTTCGACAGACGTACGGAGAGACACATCGGCGTTCGCCTTTCGCCCCCTTCCATCACCTTTAAAGCCACCATCCCCTGTGCATTTCAGTATCTGCTAACCTGCCTTTTTCATATTCAACTTTCCCACACTCGCGGAACCCGCGCCAGGGTGAGGGGGGAGGGGGAGGGAGCGTGGCGGTGAGTGGGGCGGCCGGCCGGCCGACAGCGTCAGTGCACGCGCGGACACGAGCACCGCCGGACATGACCGGATGAACGGCAGCGGACGGTCGCCGAGACGTCGTTCGACATAATTGTCGATTATCAACAGGGAGACGCCCGAATTCCGCGCGCAGTTTTAATTGTGTTTCATCTTTTGATTCACTCTTAACAGAATTTTTTATATCTTCTGCAGTTGTGCGTCAGGAAAAAAGAAATCTTAACTGTCTTTCGTTGATAATACTTACGAAGTGGTTTTCGTATTTTGTAAAAGGACTTTATTCGAATTGAATGTTTTATATTTGATGCTGAAGAAGTATTCTACACTTTGTATGAGGGAAGATTTTCTTAGCAACAAAATCTTTACGATTGTGCAGCAGACTGTGTAAATAATTTAGTTTTGCCAACAATTCCTAACAATTGGTCATGATAAGACAGGCCACTTAACAACCAAACAGATTCAACAATATCTGTTCACGGAATTTGTGAATTTTATTTAAGAACGTGGTTTAAAAACGATAGTTTCTAGAGACAACGTTAATTTACTGAAATATACAACTCTGAAGGTGTTTTTTTCTTTTTTTAATATTACTTTTCACTACTTTCGTGTGTTCATATAAAAAGTAGAAGGCTGACTCACGTCTGTTAACCCCGAAATATTTTCTTCTTACTGAAGCCTTGTCAGTGTGATGAAGAGAGTACGATCCGTGACAGTTCTTAGTGTTCAGTGATTGGAGTCTGTGCGAAGCTGAATTTCCGGTTTTGACACATGCCAGTGAATGTTCGCTGACAGCAAACTTGTGTGAACATTCAGCTTCGCACTTCGGGAGAAACATCCGTTAACCTGTGGCGAGTTGTAGTGCCCCGGGGGGCTGCAGTTCCCCCCGACATCGTGGTGGATCCCCAGCCGCCGCTGCAATGGGGCTATAGTGGTGGGCCCAACAACTGGTCGACACCCACAAGTGCCCCTAGCAGACCCCCCATGAAGCGACATCATAGCGAGAGCGACGATTGTGATGACGTCTTTTCGGAGGAATCATCCAAGGATCAGTAAGTCATTTTGCTCCTTAGTGAGTTTTTGAACATGTAGCACGCATGGGTGACACGAGGCATGCATACAGAATTTTGGCTAACAATCCTAAGGGCAAGTGACCACTTGGGAGTCTTAGGCGTAGATAGTGTGATAATATTAAAATCGATCACAAACAAAGAGGGTGTGAATATGTAAATTGGATTAATAAATTTCAGAATAGAGTCCAGTAAACGACGTTTTGCACAAGGTACTGAACCATTACAATTTCATATTACCTTCAAGCCCAGACGTTTACTATTCATCTCTCTTTAAAGCCTACCATGTAGATAAAGTAAACATTGGTAAGTGCTTAGTTATTAGTAAGGCTACAACGTCATTGCGGGCCGGACCGTATTTTACCACATCCTCATTTGAGGATCACACCCTGAAGAAACCCCGTCTTTCCTCACGAAAACTGCGTTATTTCGACTGCAGGTGCTCGTCACCCGGTGACACCGACAGCTGTCAGATGCTGAGTCGTAAGAAGCGACGTGGAATCATCGAGAAACGACGTCGGGATCGTATCAACACGAGCCTCACGGAACTGCGACGTCTGGTGCCCACAGCATTCGAGAAACAGGGATCCGCGAAGCTGGAGAAGGCGGAGATCCTTCAGATGACGGTGGACCATCTCAAGATGCTGCACGCCAAAGGTCAGTTCAGTTATAAAACCTCCCAGGATGTAGTTTGGTTCTTCTTGTAGATATTGACGGTCCAGATGGTTTTACTTACGATGGGGCAGTAAGCGTCTTTGAAAATTTAGCCAGTATCTGCCAGACTACTCGGAGCTGCATCCCAGAAGACATTTTCATACTCGTCGCCGTGAGAAATTCACATCTCATCTGGTTCATTCGATGTTCAGACTCGCCTTTGCATGGCTAAAGTACATGTAAAGCCTTTCTAAATAGGCAGCTGTTGCCTTCCTCCATAATTCGTTAATTCTCATCTGATGCTGACGTTATTATTACAACCAATAGCCGTTTCACCTTTGTGGCTGAAACAGCGTAGTGCCGCACGAGATACAATTATTTCATATTAACACAGATTTCCTGACTCGCTGGGGCGGGGAATCCCAGAGCTGGTGGCTACAGTACAACAGGTGCAGACATGGCGACAATGAGCGCTAGAGTGGCATAAGCAGAAGCGTCCCGTCATTCGCGTGTTAATGTTGCACTAGAGGCAGAGGGCCGAAGATACAGCCCGTGCGTTTACTTTCGAAGTCCTTAAGTTGAATTGTTTACACCAGTTTTAACGTGACGGTGTTGATACTAGGAGTGGAAATCCAGTAACATAGGATACATCGGTAACACACCGGAAGTTGCTACAGGAAGTAGCGTCATGTGGCCAGCTGAAGGGGCTTGGAAGGAACAGGTGTTGGGGGTGGGAAGGATGTGACAGTATATCGGTGTGTGAAGGATTTCAGACTTTCTGTTGACCACACGAGGCTAAGTCAATCCTCTGGGGTAGATAAAACACGCTTTTAACGTATACATGAACTGCTTTTGTCAGAGATTCCAGATAACTCTGTAAAGCAGACTGACTACAGAGTGAACTAGAGGGATCCGAAGATGACTGTCTTCTGAGATGTTGCGTCATGTAGTCTCATTGAAATTGACAGACGTTTCAGAGATACTTGCTGCTTGTTGCCTGAGAGATTTTCGTCTGTTGAAGTAGGCAGTACTTCCGAAATGTCGGTCTGTTTTTAAGAAACTACTCATCGTAATATCCCAGAAGACAAGTCACCTTCACATTAAACCTTAGTAACTTAAAATAAAACAACGTTTCGCATACTCTACTTCCGAAAAATTTGTCGTCAAAATATTGATTTTATATAGGTAATTTTATTTGTTTATTTATTTCGGCTAATATAATACTTTCTTTGCGCCATTTATGAATTGGTTAAAGTTCAGTTGCTGGTACCAGAACATCTTGAGCAAAAATACAATTTTGTCAGATATTTCATATACCTTAGCTGCACGCAGTGGGCGAAAAAGGCTCTATCCACAAGCTCTGTGCATAAGAATTTGACAAGGACTTGTAGGTGCCTGAATCGGATCCTGCCCGTAAAAATTTTCGTTTTCCTTAGTTTGTGCCTTCGATGCTTGGACATTGAGACAAGTGACCAGGTTTTGGAGGAGGTTCTACAGTTTCTCTTCCCACCATTTTATTTCTCCATCTGTCATGTACGTATATAATCAGTATCAGTGTTCCATTCAGCATCATCTAATGTTCTATCGTGCGGTTAAAATTATCCCAATACTCTAACCGCTCAAAAGAGAAGAAAAAGGAAAATGGCTGGATGTAATTTTGAAGACAATGCTGAGCAAATCGAATGACGAGAAGTGAAAAAAGCCGAATGTTGCAAGAGGTGAAGCTGTTTCGAGTCGCTGTAGCGTGAAGTCTGAAAGTGATAAAGGATCTAATTTTTGTTACCACAAACCTGATAAAAACAGTCCAAGTTCTGCTGCCTGAAGGCAGTGGCGGATTGGTTGAGGCAAGCCGTGCTTTCGACTCAAGGCGACTGACCGAGAGATTTATTTGTTATTGATTCATTAATTGGACGGCTGTCTGACCGATAAACCTACGATTTGCTGATTAATTCATTTTATGTTTATTGACATTTGGCGAACATATTAACTGATCTTTTCCTTAAAGGAAAAAAAACTTGCATACTTATATGTCAGACGTAAGTTTCACAGTTACGACATTCATTGTAAAGTCTTCCGTGTTTCGCAGTCTGGTATCGAAAGGTCTCAGATTCGATCCCTACCGTTGTCACTAATAATAATAATAGTATTAATAAAAGTGTATGTATCATAACCAATAACCTGAAGGCGGGAACAAATTTAACTCCCTAAACGTCGTGTATATCAGATATACCTTAGACAGTTTACATTTTTCAATATAATATTCGTTTTATGAATCCGCCATTGTTACAAACATTTAGAGAATTTTTTTAGCTTTTTCAAAACGCTGTAAGAAGTCATAAAATTAAGGAATTAATTTTATATTCCCACACGACAAAGAACGCCTATGGCGTGTTTTATGCACTATATAAGCACTCGATGTTTGATGACGAATGGCGGGAGGCAAAGACATCAAATTCATTTCTCGTGACGCGTGTCATAGAAGGGCGTTTTGTTATAAGCTACCGTTATTGTCAACACTACAAGGACAATTGAGAGGTATTCTCGTATCGCAGTACAGTTTATTTCGTTGTTGGTTACGAAATAAGGGATTTCTCAAACAATATCCCCCCCCCCCCCCGGGTCTCTTTAGCCACAGATTTAATTTCGATATAGACCTACTTACTGTTTCCGACTAGCGGTAGGAGCCCTAGGGCGGATGATCTGACCCCGCTACTGGATTTGAACCTGCGAGCCCTGGGTGTTCAGTAAAACTGTGTGTGGCATGCGCCTACGGAGCGGGGCACGTGCCCCACGGGGATCACAGTCCGCCACTGTAGCCGCGACTAGCACACGTTCTGCGGTCAGTCAAGCTCCCAGGCTTCGCAACCACAAGAAGATGGCACGAACCATTGTAGGCGGTGAAGAAGAAAGAAATTAGTTCAGCTGCAGGTGTGATGGTGCCAGTTCTCTTCGGCACAGCACGCCAGGAAGACGAACGTGGGACTGGAGAAATAGTTCCATACGTTCTTAACCTCGTTGCTAGATGGGCTTCACGCCTCGGCCGCTGTACTCCTGAGGAAATTGCCCGCTAACCATTGGATGGAAAGACGAATGGGGCCCACGGATGAGTATGTGAGGAGAGAAGCCAGCGGCCCGGATGCCGACTAACTCCATACGGAAGAGTCCTTATTGAGAAGCTGATAGTATTGAAAACTAATCAAGAAATTCCCCGGATTTTATGGAACCCGAAATTTAATTGCGGTTTTCGTAAGAACCCGGTATCGGTCCCTGTCCTGAGACAGATGAATTCAGTCCACTTCTTCCCACTCTATCACCTTACGATTCATTTTAATATTATCCTCCTATGTCTTTCAGAGCTTTTTTCATGTTTTCCGACCAACATTAATTTATAATCGGTTTAATGCGTGCTACATGACTGTCTTCTGAGGTGGACAGATATTTTTAAATGGTAAACGTAGAGATTGTGACCTTCCTTAAGTATTTAAAAGGTGGAACGAAGGTAACATATCCAAATTGTATTCAAGAAGAAATAAGAGCTGATAATATTTGGAGGATCCATTAAGTTCAAAATCACTTTTCTTTTCCTGGATGCTGTTTAAAACCGTAAAAATTAAAATACATAACTGCAAGCTAACCTCTTGTTTTTAATTGGTGTAAATGGTGTGTAAAAACTGGGGATAATATGACAGGAGGCTTGAGAAATACGCATAACGATGAGATTCATAATTGCTATTTATCGTCAAGCACTGTTAAGACTATAAAATTAAGAGGGGTAGCCTGGGTAAAGCATGTAGCATGCGTACAGAATTTTGGTCAGAAAACCTGAACGGAAACTCTCGCTTGAAAGACGTGGACGCAGCTGGAGACAGGATTAAAATAATCTTAAATAAGATGTAAGAATGTGGATTGGATTCATCTAGCTCAGTACGGATAAATTGCAGGGTTCTGTTCGTCTTGTGGATAATAATTATTATTATTTTATAATGAGTAATGTTTTTATTTGTGAAATCTTAAAACGTTGCTGGCTGTCTTTTGAGATGTAGCAGATATTTACAGCAAAATTATGACTTTCATAAAGACTCATGCAATTCTTGTAAACAAAGGCTTCACGTGAAGAATATTTAAACCAGACTAAAAGTGGTTGTTATTTCATTGTTGCGCTGCAACAGGAAGGGTCTCTCCGTCCCTTCTCGCCCTCTTTACAGCAACAGACCCTCCTCTCCAGCACAAAATTATTGGTCTAACCTTGCCGTTTCATTAGAACAACTGGCCCTCAGGTTCGCTACCAGTGTGCTGGCTTCCATCGTGATTGCTGTGCGCTTGTATGCTGTTACGGCTTTATAATGGGTTGAGGAGTGGCAAATGGGTGCAGTCTTCTTCTTGGTCTGTATTTATACCCATTCACCATTTCCCCATGCGACGAACACACAGTAGCGAACCTACTAAATCTGTACTCAACTTCTTACAGTTCTTGTGAGTGCAAACTGAACAGATTGGTTTAGCACTAATACTGTAGATTTGATGTTACGAATGCCGGGTTACCAATTATTTTAATATTATTCATGATTTTCCTCCCTCCAGGCGGAATTCTAAGATCGCCTCCAAACTTCTTGGTGAGATTTGACGTTCGCACGTCGACGAGTCTAGAACCAATTGATCTGTGTGTGCTGTGTGAATAACGAAATTTCTAAATATTCAGTGCCCTAAAGTGCCCGCGGGGTTCACGTTGCCCGCCCATGTATTTTGTGTGATCAGAAAAGAATTAGTACACAACACCTAAACGTGACACTGGGTAAAGTTCCTGTTGTGTAAGTGTTTTTGTTACCGTCATCTGATGCAATATATGAAACAACAACAATCAAGGGCAGGAGTGTATTCGGGGGGGGGGGCAAGCCCGTTGTTAATTTTCGGCTAATTATCCGAGGCGCTTGTTACCGACACAGAAAATATCAGATTATACAGAAGAGATACCAGTGTAACAATATCGATAGGCGTACGGATGTATCGATAAATCTTGCTAGTCCGAGAAGTGGACAGCTTGAAATAATAGGCTTACAGCTTGCAGCTGCGGAATTCCGAGGATAATTCCGCAACAGGCAGTTTTCTGGTTGCCCAGGTGACAGAGAGAGAGAGAGAGAGGTGGCGTGAGAAAGTTGCGGGCGTGACCAGCTGCTCTATTAGAGCAGCTCCCGATCTCCTGGGACCCAAACTGAGACGGGCGCCCCGTGAGGGAACCAGAGATCAGGCAACAGTTGGGGTCACTCCGTGACGTAAAAAAGCAAAGCGCTCTGCCCTTTACTAGGTGCTGTGCAGAGCTCAAGAGGTCTCTAGAGGTTTCTGACGATCGTGTAAGTTCTGTTGTACTCTATCCATCATCGTCTGCTTGGATTTTAACCACAACGGTTCTGAAGCTACGTCTAGTGCGATATTCAAGGTAGCCGGTGGGATGACAGGCATATATTAAGTGCTCTAAATAATTTTATTTCTGCAAAATCGAAAATTAAAGGCCTAATTCGATTGCAACATCATCCGGTATGAACAACCTGTCTTCTATCGCAATATATTTTGCACATAAAAAATTAAGATGTTGCAAAATTCATGTGTGCGTAGGTTTTTCACTACTATCAGTTTATGATCTCCATCAGGAAAAAGAGAAACAAAGAATTTTGGTGACTAATTCAGTTAACCACGTGTGTACATAGCAATGCAGGCGGAAATGCCATCATTACAACAAATGTAAATTGTTTCCTGCCTCATCTATCCCCTCGTACTTGACTGAGAAAGTTAATGTCACAGGACTCTCAGAATTTCAATAGAAATTAAAATATAATAATATCTAAAAGCGGTCAACATAAGGCGTGTGTTTAATGTTTGTTCGTTAATTAACTGAAGTTATATACCGTTTAATAAGATGTGGTAAGTTTATCATAAAATAATCACGCAAACTTTCATTCAAGACAATCAGATCCTACTAGTGGTAATGAATGTTTAGAAGAAAATTTTACGATAATATTGGTAATTACAAGGATAGAGGCCTTGCGACGAGCTGATCACTCAACCAAGGATTCCTACCCAATGTCCAATAGATCAAACAAACCTCCAAAGAGAGGAAAAACGCAGACCCTGCTAAAGACGAAACAAATTGGTGATGACAAGGATCAAATTAATAACGAAGAATTACGATGATACTGACAACGCCACTCGGTGGTACTTTTCTGAGGACGGAACTGTCCATTGGTGGGTCTCTGCTATCACAGGACGACGGGATAACAGCAAAATAGACAGCCCTGTCCAACGGGCGGTAAGACCAATGTGCGATGTTTAATATTATTTTTAAAAAAGTCAGTTGCCCTGGGGTTTTGTTTGGAAGTGAACCAAATTGGGAATTCATGTTCTCAGAGTAATAGCCTTCTATCGCCCAGAATCTCGTGGCAATTACAAGCACTTCCCCCCCCCCCTCATTCGCCCCCTTTAGCCATCACGCCCAGCTCAGCCTGCCAACGGCGAAATATAAGAAAACGTCCCAATGTGACCTATGTTTGGACAAACCGTTAAATAAGCATTTTGTATCAATTCTCTGGAAAGTCTGATTTTTCATATCCAATCATAATACAGTACAGTCAAAACCCTCATACAAAGGTAAATCCCTTGAAAATGCGGCGTAGTTTCAACTTTTGGTAACGACGGTAACATTGTGTCCCAATAATTACCTCCTTGGGTCTTGCGTGTTGCCCGGATCCTGGAAAAACGCGACAGACGGGCTCATACAAAACCATAATTTTCAAAAGGGCGGAATGAGGCTGTTTGAGAAAGGGTTCTGAGGATATTTTGACCTAATAAAGACGAATTGACAAGACGGTTGAAAGAATTGCATAATCAGACTCTCCATAATTTCTATTGCTCCAATTATTATTAGGACGATGAAGTCGAGGAGGATGAGATGGGCATAAGATGTAGCGCGTACATTCTGGTTTCAAAGCGTGGAGGAAAGATACCACTCGGAAAACCTAGGCGTAGATGGAAGGATAATATTAAGAGGGATATTACGAAAATACTGTTGGAGGGTGTCGTTTCGATTCATCTGGCTTGGGGTAGGTTCCGACAGTGGGCTCTTGTGAACATGATAATGAACTTCCGGGCTACGTAAGAGGCTGGGAAATACGTGAGCACCTGAGCGTACGTTTAACTTCTCAAGAACGATTCCGCTCTATAGAGTTAGTTAGTCAAGTTACTTAGACTTCGTTGTAATATACTGAATAAAACATATCGAAAGATATCATAAAGACCCTTTTGTTCGCTATTTATAATGACAACAGCTGTCTTCTGACCTGGCAGACCGTATTACTTGATGGTCCATTCCGTAGAAAGTCCTGGTAAGTGTCGAAACAATAAAAGATACTGTATGTACATATTTTACGAAAGATAGCGGCAGAAAAATTGAGTGTTGAGAGCTTGACACCAATAGGTCGGCAGACCGCGGATAGCCCCACCGCAACATGCTACAGTTTCAAGATTTATATTTTCAAGAACGCAGATTCGCACTGGACCATGACGGGAGAAGAGCCCTGGCGGCTAGATTCATCTGATTCCCACGGGGCAAGAAGAGTAGAAGCCACGTCTCTGTCTCTGTCTTAACTTAACCACAGTTTCCAGCCCACTCTACCAGAATCCTGATCTGATACACTCGTAACACGACGTTCCTCTGTACTGTCCAGTTGGTACAGAAAACTTAACTCACTCTTCACTACCTGCACTCTGATCCACTAAAGGAATAATGTATAAAAGACAAATTTTTGTATGAAAATGGCTGTCTTCTGGGACGTTACATCTCACAAGATATTTAGCCTTTTCTTGTTCAGGTGAAGTTTGGTTCAGGCGTTAACGCAAGTGATGATGCGCGTTCTGGGCGACTGTCGACTGTTACACGTGTTGAGAGATCGATCGAAGTATACGAGATAATCGAAGAATCGTTATTGTCGATATTCTATCCGAAATGATCGTAAGAAAACCGTTGCACGAATGGCTTGAGATCAAATAAGAGAAATGAATTGACGACACCGTATGGTTGTCGGAGGTTGGCGGCGTTTCGGAGGAATCTACTGTCTTCATCCTCAGGAAAGTTGTATACTTTGCTAATACAGAAACGGTTCGATTAATGAGATTCAAAACGTGGGTCGCGCGCGTGCAACCGCTTCTCGCTGTGATAGCCATAAAAAGCTGTTAAACTGGCAGGTAAAAAACGTGACGTAACGAAGTCAAATTTTCCTGTCTCGCTGACCCCGTGGGAATCTACTTACAGTATCATATTTCATGCTAAAGTACCGTTAACATAGCAGTAGCTTATGTTCTAATGAGTACGGAAGCACACATGACTTTTATTGGGAAGTCCTTACATCGAAACCAGAAGATTAATCCCACTTACGTCACCTTTGCTTCGTAATCGGGAGTTTCCGTGTTAAAATCCCGGTCCGGAGATCGGTTATCTTGCATAAAGTTTTTCAGT